TTTGCTCTGTGCAGAGTGGAGGTAGGAAAAATCTGCAGGAAACCAGGTTTTAGCAGTTCCACCGGCCACAAGGTAACTTAGATCTTTAAAAACCACCCATGTCTTGCTTTTTTATTTGGTTGTTGCAAAGTTGTCTTCAATTTTTAATCTCCTCCACCAGACATTCAAAACTACTTGGAGCTGCATGGAAGTCTGACGAAAATTTAGGGGGAAATATCCCTTTGTAGTCTTCAACCTCGCAAAGTTCTCTCATGGGGATGTCGCTCTGAAAAAGACCTGCAGCACCAGCACTGACAGGAGCTCCATGGCAGCCAAAGTCAAGATGACAAGAACTCATTTTAATTCGTATCATTCCTTCTGCACTCCACCTAAAATCGCTGGAAGGGCTCAATGAACCCATCAGAGCAGCGCCTCCTGATTTTATTTTACACACAGCTCAGAAAAGGATTATTTCACTTTTTCCCCCCCACCCCATCCTTCCTGGAGGAATGAGAATCTGGAACAGCTGATTAACAACTTACATATGCCAGGGTTGAACAGTAAGGCATGTCACTTGCAGAACAACATATTCCTTCAAGAAGATCATTCCCGAGGTGTGCGCTCACCCACCCACATGCTAATTGCCTCTGAGGGCACCCATCTGATCACCGCTTCTGTAGGAATGCTGCCTATGTACAGGGAGTGCAGGAAGAAGTCAGGCACACAAATGGAAAATCTAATAAAAGGCATAACCAAAGGGGACTGAATAAGCCTCTTCTAAGGGCCTTACATAACATGACTTTCAGCTGAAGGCATCTTTCTAGATGAACCAAAACAAAAAGGAACCCTTTGCAGCACCTTTTTTCTTTGCAGCAGCTTTTTTCTTTGCAGATACAGATTGCAAAGGTTTTTTTAAGGAAGGAAGAAAAAAATGAATGTATTCTATTGTACAGTTCTGCTGTAATGTAGACCCAGCACCAGAACCGTGCACTAAACCCAGGTATTTGCAAGTCACTTTCCCCAGTACATCAAAAAACCCACAAAATTTTCATCTGGGCTGCAAAGCAGGGATCACCCACTGAGTCGGGCGAGCATATCCCCCACAACCTCTCTCCTCTGAAGGCAGAGGCAGGGAGATCCTGGCCCTGCTGTTTCAATCGTCATCCCAAGGGAGGTAAGCACGCCGGCCGCTGCAGAGTGAGGGGCACAGCCCTCCCTCGCAGCATCCCAGAAGAGAACCCGCAGTCCCGAGCTCGCTCTGCGGGCAATGATGGGCAGAAGATGGCAAGCCCACCGGCCGGGCTGAGCACCGGAGGGCTGCGGGGGCAAGGCAGAACAACCAACTCTCGGCCCTTGCACAACAGCGTTGTGCAAGCACCCGACCTGCCAGTTGAGCTGCGCACCCGGAGGCGCCCAGGCAGCCGTGCACGCCCGCCCCGCTCGTGCCAGAGGTCTCGGGGGAATGCGAGCAGGAGAATCGCTTCTTCCCTTACCTGCCTGACTCTTCCTCAATTCCCTAACGGCGGTGACTACCGACCAGGCTGCAGGTGATCTCCACCTCACCTGGCAGCACCTGCCCACCAGCAAGCAAAGGTGGAGGCGCGCGCCTCTTGGTTAAAGCGTTTTATCCTGGGGTTCCTTCCCTCTGCACTGTTTTCCCTGGGAGTTTTCCAGTGGTTTTCCCTGGCGCCTACCGTTGCGTTTTTGACCTGGTGCCTACCGTTGCGTCCTAGTGCCTACTGTTTTTTCCCTGGCGCCTACCGTTGCGTTTCTCCCTGGCGCCTACCGTTGCATCCTAGTGCCTACTGTTTTTTCCCTGGCGCCCACCGTTGCGTTTTTCCCTGGCGCTTACTGTTTTTTCCCTGGCGCTTACTGTTTTTTCCCTGGTGCCTACCGTTGCGTTTTTCCCTGGTGCCTACCGTTGCGTTTTTGACCTGGCGCCCACCGTTGCGGTTTTTCCCTGGCGCCCACCGTTAACGCCAATCAACTCGACTCTTATCACCACCACACCGCTCATGGATATAAACTCCAGCTTTTTAAAAGCACGCGGGGCATTCCAACGGAGCCCGTCTCCCTGCGGACCGACCAACCAACCTGGGGGAACTGCAATTTTCAGCAGCTCAGCCGGCGGCCGCGGCTCTCGCCGGAGCACGGGAATGGCGAGTCCCTGGCAAAGGCCCTGCACGTGTGCGGGCCGGGAAAACAGGAAATCGGGACAAAGCATTTCCACAGCCAGCAAACCCGGCTCGGCTGCG